TTCCCAGGTCCCTCTTGTGCCTCTCCCCTCCTTGCTTTCTTGCCGCCACCCCACTGGCCTCCCAGACTCCAGACGGCCCAGGATTCATTCTGAAGTCCTTTACGCCTGCAGTTCCCTCCACCTGGAATGCACAGCCCCTGCTCTTCACCCAGCTAACTCTTAGGCATCTCCAGGTCTTGGTTTAAATGTCACTTTCTCAAATTGTCCTTTCCTGATTCCCCCTCAGCCTTCCTACTGACTGTCTTGTTCCTGGTGGTTTTCCCGAAAAGCATATATACAGAGGATGGCACTAGACTTTTAGACTGTAAGCTCCCTGCGGGCAGGGATCATCTCTGTTTTGTCAACCATTGTACACCCAACATCCAGCACTGTGTATGGCACACAGACGCTCAATAAATATTTGTTTAATGAGTGAACAAGAGAAACCTGCCTCATCTCACCTATCATTCATTTTGTAACCCAAATGTCCCAGGCTTTACAGACCCATAGGTGCAAATAAGGTGATATTAACGTTGATGCTCAAAGTACAGTAGCTTTTAGCCACCTGCCCTTAAAATCTCCAGCTAGCTACTCTGAGAGCCCAAGAAAGGGATGCTGGTATGTCTCATGTGTTTGAGCACCGTTCTGTTTATGTCTCCGACTCAGGCCATATTCGATTGCCCCGGAGCATCCTCTGCTAACAATGCTGTCCTGATGCTGCAGATCCTCCTTGCCATTGCATTAGTCTGCTGGGGAAATGGCCCTGCCCTGCAGGAAACCAAATCTGCCACAAGTCCTTGTGGCAAGGGGACTGGGGAAGGGGTGGGGTGATAAATGCTGCACAGCCCTTATCCCTGGGCCCCACAGAGGCACCACTTGGGGCCAGAGTCCCTCACAGCTTGTTCCCTTCTCACCAGAGCCCAAGTCTCTTCAGACAGGACAGGAGATGCCACCTTCCCTCACCATCTCTCGTTAGTCTCTCTCCCTATTGCCCGTTTGTCCTTCAGCTAAAAAGAAATGCACCTGACCTCTTTGTTTGTGAAATACAGACCACCTGGGTCCCAGGGGATGTGCACCCTGTTTTACAATCTGAGCTCAGCTACAATTCATTCATGAAATCAACAAATATTTGCAAAGCACCTCCTAAGGGCCAGAGCCAGTCAGCCAGTGGGTCTGTGTCATCTCCCAACTCTGACCTCTCTGCACGTGTGCCACATCACTGCCTCATTTCAGACTGCTCTCACTTCTCTCCCAGGCGCTTGAGATAGTCTCAGAACGGGTCTCCCTGCCTCCTGACTGGCCCCTCTAATCCAGCCTCCACTGACTGCCTGAGAGATCTCGTTAACATGCAAAGCTGATGACATCAGGCTTCTGTTCAAATGCCATCAGGGGCTCCCCATAGCTTTCGGGCTAGAATTTAACTTCTTTAGCTTCACACTAAATACATTTTGCAATCTGACTGCTGCCTGTTTGTTTGGTTCCAACTCCCTTCTCTCCGCAGAACGAGTCATGTTGTCATGGACCTCTGAGTCTGCGCATTCTGTTCCTTCTGTCTGGAATGCCTTTATCCCCCTTTTTTCTAGGCCAGGACTGTTCAACAGAACTGTCTTCAGTGGTGATGGAAAAGTTCTGTATCTGCTCTGTCCAATATGGTAGCCCCTAGCCATGTGTAGCTATTGAGTTAAATAGTCATATGTGGCAAAT